GGTTTTGAAGTCTTTGAGGGTTCAATACAGCATTTAGCAATGTTTGTGTTGGTTAAACCCTAACAAATAAGAAAATAATAAAAAGAAATTAGTATATAAACAAACAAAATGAATATTTTAGTTTAAAAATGTCTATTTTATAATTATAACCTAAAAAAATTAAGAATATAAAAGTTTTTTTATAACATGCTATAGAAAACTGCTTGGTGATTAGGTGAGGTGAGCCTCCAAGGGCGCCTTGTCACCTAGGTGTCGCCTTGACAACTATGCTTGAGCCATTCCCCCGGTATTATCAATTTCTATTTTTGCTTCCTCCAGGGGTTTATTAATTCTTTTACATCTATACCATCTATGGCCTAACAGTCTGCAGTGTGCACACACCTTGGTCAGTGCTTCGTAACAGTATCTTACCCATTTTTCTCGCCCATCTACATTTATGAACGTCCTGTGAGCAGGGATTTCCTGATGTCAATAAATACTTGAACTCTTGTGTATAGCCCTTGTATTAAATGTCCAGCAGGATTAGGAGGTTGGTTGGGTACTATGTCTCTTGCCATCATGCTCAAAGCTTTAAATCTGGAGTCCTTGACTATTGCTCTTGGGATCAAGTGCAGCTGCAACCAAACTTTCTGGATGTAAACTTCTTCTATAGATCCGTCTTCACTGTATGTCCAGGGGGATATCATAAACCAACTTGATCTATAGAACCAAGGGCCACCATCCAACACCTTTTTTTCTTTCATCACTGTCCTCGAAGTAGATTTCGATCTGACTACCTTATATAAATTTGATATGTACCCGGTTTTTCAATTTCCAGATTGTTTTTGCATGTTTCTCGACAATCTCTGCTGATACTTTGAGTTGTGGAAAGATTCTACCTTTTAGGAGGTGTGCAAGTACATTCTTCTCTTTTGTAAATTTGGTCATTTCCATTTCCATTTGATTTCTTTTCATGATCACTTTTTCTACAAGCATCTGAGCAAAACACAGACTCACTTGTTTGTCCTGATCTTCCTTGAGAATTCCTTTTCCTTTAGGGTCTGCCATTCCTTTGCGAGGATCGATGATTCTTCTTCTGTATCTCTCCTTCAGTTGAGGCCAAGCAAAAAGAAAACAGTCACCTGCAAGGATAAATAAAATGGAAAAACCAGGTAGAATGTGAAGATCTAGCCCCACTTAGGAGTAGAGAGTTGTTCTCTTGTGAATAAACAGACTCACGGGTGGGAACTAAGGGGGAAACACTATTAGGGGGCAAGGTTCAAAAAATCGATACGATATGCCCCGTATCGGGTGTATGGTATTGTATCTTTTGGGTCCCGATACGCCTGTTTACAGGTGTTTCGGGACCCCACTATTTTTTAATGAAAAATATGGGTATTAAACTACCCAAAAACCGAAGTTTTAAAAAAAATAAAAAAACCATATTTCCGCATGGTCCAAAGTTAGGGGGTTGAGGAGTAGAGAGTTGTTCTCTTGTGAGTTGTGAATGAACAGACTGATAGGCGGGAACTAAGGGGAAACACTATTAGGGGGTTGGCTTAAGCCATGAGGAAAACAGGGAGGGAGACTATAAGTTAGGTTTACGGGGAGGATAAGGTTTAAGAAGGGCAGTTAGTAAAGGATGGACCACCCACTGGGTTATCATGCAGGTTTGAAAGGATTCAGAATTTGGAAAGGAAAACAAATTCATCAGGATTAGTTAGTTCTGAAGAGATACAAGAAAGTGCAAGGCTTTTCTAACCTAGGTTCAACATGGGAAAGACAGCTTCACAGACAAGTTAAAAGGAAGACATCAGATGAAAGGTAAGATTAAGAACGATGGAGGTGAGAAATAAGTGGGGATACTGTCACAGAAACATTCGCAGATAGAAACTCAGGAAGTAATTGGAAGCAAGCTCAGGGCTGAGGCTGAACCAACTTATGTCACATGGACTACCAATAAATATGGTTATCTGCTTATTTATATATGCAACTTGTGCATGTTTCACAAATTATAAAAACTGTGTCACATTGCTTTCACCATGGTAATTTCTGGAAAAGAAAAGAACATGCTAATACATTCTT